GGCAACATGCAAATAACCTAGCAAGTTATGAACAACAGGATGCCCATGAGTTTTTCATATCCATTCTTGATGCACTTCATGAAAGGTTGCATAATGATAAGCATAAGCCTCATGATCCTGGTAATTTGCTAATTACTGAAAATATGAAGAAGGTTTTCCCCACTTTTTTTTCCATTGTATGAGATTTTAAGTACTTTAAGTGCACTTGTCCTGTTGATCAGTCACATAGTGATTGTTGGCCTTCGAGATCTTATATTTATGTAAAGTGCATGTTTCGCTTTTGTACATATATATGTTAATATTTACTTCTGCTTATCAATTCTGCTGGGTCTTTGGATAAACAGATTTAGAGCTATTTTTTCAAATTGCAAGTTCCTGTTTTCTTAATTAAGTGTCAAATTCTTAAATCTGATTGGGTTAAGCCTAGGATCTTTCTTGTGCCTCATCCTCTGTCATGCTTATTTCGAGCTCTACCTTTCTAGGGTCTTTACTTCGGGACAGCTGAAATCATTGGCTGCAGAGAATTTGAAGTTTGCAGCCTCTGCTGGGTTTGCACATGCATATATCCCTTCGCAATTCGTTCATGACATCATTTTTGAAAATCTAAAACTTTGGTACCTTCAGACTGTTCAATCTTCAGTTGTACTCAATCCTTTGTCAATCTTTGCATAGCTAACCTTGTGCTGCTAGGTTGTCACAAGTTGTTAAATTTTCATTGTAGGCAAACGTGACACTTTGCAAGTTGGGCAATACTCTTGGAATTTAGATTTTAGATTTGAGTCTTCACTCATTTTCTGTTGAGGAAAAAAAAGAGACTTTTTTTGGCAAAATGCATGGTACATAAAATCCGGGTTTCATCATTTCAAAAATGCCGCCTCAATTCATAATGATGTGTATGGAGTATGAAACCTGACCTTTTGTTTTTTACAAGATGATATAATTGGAATTCTCTTTTGACGCAGGCAGTGGGAACTGCTGTATTGCTCATAAAGTGTTCTCTGGAATCTTACGGTCTGATGTGATGTGCACGGCCTGTGGATTCACATCCACAACGTTTGACCCATGTGTTGACATCTCATTGGATTTGGAACCAAACAGAGACGCTCCTGGAAAGGTGGCATCAACAAAATCATCTCATCACTCTAACAATGAACAAGCAGACTTGGTGAGTTCTAGCAACAACAGTGGAATGTCTACCTTGGTAGGGTGTTTAGACCGATTTACAAGACCTGAAAAGTTAGGGTCAGACCAAAAGTTTTTCTGCCAACAGTGTCAAGTTAGTCAGGAGTCCCTCAAACAGATGTCCATAAGCAAACTGCCCTTGGTTTCATGTTTCCATATCAAAAGATTTGAGCACTCCCACATCCGGAAAATGTCCAGAAAGATTGACCGCTACCTGCAGTTTCCTTTTTCCTTGGACATGGCACCATATCTATCTTCCTCTATATTGAGGAACCGGTTCGGAAATAGACTTTTCTCCTTTGATGATGGGTACGAAGAAAAAGAGTCATCGTCCACTGAAATTTCATCGGAGTTTGAACTGTTTGCTGTCATCACACATAACGGGAATCTTGATGCCGGGCATTACGTGACATATTTGAGGTTGAGTAATCAATGGTACAAATGTGATGACGCATGGATCACGCGGGTAAGTGAAAGTATGGTAAGGGCTTCGCAGGGGTATATGATGTTTTATGTGCATAAAATGCTTTACTACACATCAAGTGAAAAACAGGCAGCCTAAGAAGAGCAAAAGTTTGCGTCTATCCCCATAAAACTTGTTTGTGAGTTTTGATTCAAACCGCTAAAAAGTGACGCCATCTGTGTTGGTAAAGCTCAACTTTGGATTTAAACCAGTCTTCGGCTCTCGGACATTCAGATGTGAAGAAGCATTTGCCTCCTCGGATTGAAACATTGTCCCCGAACCCAAGTTTCACGTGGAAGATAAGAGAGCATAAATACTGAAAAAAAAAGGTGAAAGTGTAACCCTCCTTGCAATTAAACTTGCTGAGATTAATGTTGAATTTGATTCATAGGAGGCCCAACCCCCTAATGTGCATCTTATCTTGTAAGATTTCAGTGCGCCTGATCTTGGGGTTCTTTTTGAACAAATGAAGAACTTATCATTACTCACTCCGGTTATAAAGGCAATATGGATTCCGGAACTTTGTTTTTTTTTTGTTAAATTGATTTTTTGGTGCAAAAATGATGAATACAATGATACCATGTCAAAAACCTCAGCTACTCCATAATCCATATCCGCTTCATATTAGGGATATCAAATACCATCCTTCCGTCTAACAATATTCACATTCACTATTCACATTGTCAAATTTTATTCACTTTATTAGCGTATTTTCATTGTCTATTAGATAAAATAATATAATCATGTTACTTCTAGTTTTGTAGATCTTTTCATGTATTTTTTAGATTTATTTTTTATTTAAATTTATATTAGAATGTTCCGATTTTGTTTCTGTTTTCTTTAAATACTTTTGGTTTAGATTTCAAAACACATATCATTTTTCTTAGATTTTAAATCTCATACTCCGTATCATTTTCTAAAACTCACTAAACGGGCCCCTAATTCAAATTGTCCATCACATGTCAATGTCTATATGTATATTAGTCCATGAAGATATGAATATTAGTCCATGAGAACAAAGAAGAAAAGTGGCATATGGGTGGTCCGTGGGTGGCACATGGTTATGGTTATGAATGAGATGGAGTGACACATGAAAGAAGACGGAGAAAGGAGGTAATTAGAGATGGGGTGGGGGGGGGGACAAAGAGACAACAACGACAAGGAGATCGAGGACAATCAGATGGGTTGGGAGGTGTAGTGGTGGGCTCATTTTCCTTCATCGGCTATTTTATGTAATTGAATTTATTTAGATCAGACAAAGATTATCATATATGTTATCTAATGAGTTAGACAGTGCGAGGTGTACACTCGTTCAACGATATTACAATTTCATAGCTGGGTCCGGAGGTGGCAGCTCCCACTAACGGGGTCCAAGGAGCAGAGACCCTAGCCGGAGGATAAACGTCAATTTGATCCTAAAACCACAAGGATCTTTTCGCGCGAATGTTTTCTCCTTAAACAAATTTCCGCGTCTACGCGAACGTTCATGTCTGATCATCAATTTTCGACTCTATAAATAGAGTCGGATTTCTAGTACTTATTATTGATTAATGTCTTATTCAATTAAAGTATTTTGGTATATCTCGAAATAAATTTGATCTGAAAATGTTCTACGCGATTCGTTATACTCTATCAAGTTATTCTTCTCATTATTTGTTACAAAACCTCTCGTCAAAATGTAAGGTTAAACCATTAAGAAATCAAAATCTGAATTGAAGAAATAAAAGTCACATTGATTTTTCAAATCTTGAGAATTAAAGAAATTAGAAAAGAAAACTAGGTTCAAAATCTAGGAGATTGAGAAATTAAAATCGCATCTATACTTCAAATTTAAGAAAATAGAGGAAGAAGGAGAAAGGAGAGACGGGAGATCTAATGGTCAGAAGCAAAAGAAAAAGAAAAAACGAGAAAAGAATTGGGGGATGGGGTGTGTAAGGGGAGAACAAATTTGGATTATGCTATGTGTACCCCAAGGTTTGTACCTCAATATGTACCCCGCAGTTTTGCACCAACACTTTGTGTTGGTGTAAAACTAATTTTTGTTAAACGCACCAACATTTGTGTCCGTGTGAATTTTTATTAACGCACCAACACTTGTGTCGGTGTAAACCATCGAAATGTTTGTGCAAACCTGTGGTGTACAAATGGGGTATATTTTTTGGTGTAAGTGTACCATGGTCCAACAAATTTTTATACATAAAATTTGAGAGTTAAATTCTCAGAATTGCACGACATGTGACGAGTTGACTTGGCAAATTTCTAATATATCGTTCGCGACCTATTAATAACTTCATAATGTGACAATTTAAACAAAATATATAATATATGTCTTATATATAGATTGCCACTAAAGTTTTTTTTAGAATCTTTATCTTTATATATTAACTTTGAGAGTTGATAAAACTGAAAAATTGGTTGGTCAGATCGGGTTCAGATTCGATCACTTCAAGTTCAAATTATTTTGGATTCGAGTCTATTCGAGTTTAGACTGAGAACTCTATATTCATGACTCAATGTCATCGGATTCATGTTGGCCCAATGGGTTATGACTTTGGTTTAAAAATGTTTAAATTCATTTTAATACCTGCATTTCGCATTAAATAAAATTAAGATATTAAAAAATATGTATTAAATCTTTTGTTTTATTTTATTTTAGATTCTGAAGTAATTTTTAGGTATAAAAATCAATATAAAAATTCAAAAAATGCATAAATTTTAGAAAAAAGTAAGATAACTATGCATATTCTTTTTTATAAATGATATTTAAATACTATTTTCTTTAAAAATGAAATAATAGAAGTTGATATTTAAATATTCTTTAAAAAATTAAAATGTATACTATGTATGTTAAAAGGTAAGAAAATTATAAATGGATAAATAATGCATTTGTACTATGTGTAATAAGTTAATTATTAATTGTATTTTACAATCTAAGAATTGATGGTATAATATTAATTGTTATAAATGCAATTACTATCAAATAATATTTTTAAATTCTAATCATTATATTTTTGGTTGAAAATTAATTGTTACATTCTTAAATAGTACACGGTTTATTAGTAGAAAAATACATAGAAATTGAATATTTTAAGAAGTTATTAATGGAGAAAAGGTATTAAAATGTATATATTTATGTGTTTAAAGAAAATATTACGAATATTGGAAGGCAAAAAAAGTTATACTCCGTACATGGTATGTAACTCCTTTAAAGGCAAAAAAAAACTACATCTGCTTCGTTACTAACTCAAAAGCTTTTATTTTTGAACAAGAGGCTGTTTGGCAACTTCTGAATAGATAAGTGTTGAACTAGTAAGAAGTCTGAACCATTAAGTGCTGAACCAGTAAGAGGTCTGAACCATTAAGAGCTAGTATATTGTTTAACTATTCAGAATAAAATGTGTGATCAATTCAGATAAGAGGTCTTAACCATTCAGACTCTACTTAATACTTAATCATTCAGAAGCAAATGTTTTAACCATTCAGACATCTGAACCATTAAGAGGCTGAAACAAACAGTCTGAACCATTAAGTGCTGAACCATTCAGACATCTGAACCATTAAAAGGCTGAAACAAACAGCTCCTAACTATTGCCAAACAAAAATGCTCACACATCAACAGCATGTGTGTAATGGTTGATCACAAATCTGAGCTAAAGTCCACACATTCAGTGAATATCTTAAGAGCCAAAATGATTAAAAATGTACGCAATATGAAAGAGTGAAAATTAGTCCCTGAAAATATGGCAATGCCAAACATGTCAATAACCATGATTTAGCTCCATAACATCAATTCATCATTGCAGCCAATCACTTGACTAGCTATTTCAGTTCTTACCTGATAAACTCCAAATTTAATGAGAAATTGGACTACTTGAGCTTCTTCCAAGTTGAACCCTATAATTTCATTTCAAGAACACAATACGACACTAAAATTTAAAAAAAGACATTTACTATTCAAATGAATTTCAAGTCTAAAGGTCGTGAAGAATAAATAACATAAGTGTTTTGATTTGCCGCAGTTGACCAATGAACACTTTTGCTTGCCATCAATGTTGCAACCAGCAACAAGGGGTCTCTTTGTAACATTAGAAACCAAAAAACAAAAAATAAAGAATGAAAAATCAAAGCAAGAAGAAACAGGAAAGCTGATTAGAAAAAAAACATAAATAGTAAAGTAGGAAACAGAAAAGAACCCCACAAAATGCAAGCCTCAACAAAGCAAAATGTCCTACAAGCAAGAATATAAACAACTGAAAATTAGCTTAACCATTAATTGTTTTTAGAAACTGTATCATTGAAGATTATATAAGAACAGAAAACACATTTTACAACAATAATGATTTTAATCTCTTTTCTTATGATGAAGGAACAAAAAGAGAGGGTTCAAGCTACGTGGATCAGCAACAATGTTTTATCAATGCGAGGAAGGCATAATGGTGGGCGATGAGAATAATGTTGGGAGAAGTCTAGATTGACAATCAATGCTAGACAGCAATCCACGCCTTTTCTTTCGACCCACGACCAATGGGTTGTTTGCTGTAGAAGAGGATGCAAATGTCATAATGCTATCACTTAAGCAATGACAGGGGCCCTCTTCCTTCTTATAACCTCTTTCTCTCATTCCCACCATTACTTCTCCCTTGCTCAGACCTTTTACTTTTGGCATCATTTCCATTTTCTTTTGAATGAATAACAAAAGGGTGAAAATAAAAGACTCATACACCCCACATTTCTAAAATATTACACACGAAATACGAAGTAAAAAGATCTTGGATTCAATGACAACAGCTAATCATTCTATAACAGAGTATAACAGAGTTCAAGCAAACCTTGAATAATGGTATTTGCAGCCAATTTCTTGACTAGCTATTTCGATTCCTACTTGATAAGCTTCAAATCTAATGAGAAACTGGACTACTTGAGCTTCTACAAAGGTGAACCCTTTAATTTCATTTCAAGTACACAATATGACATTATAATAAAAAAGGACTTATTATTCACATGAATTTCAAGTGTAAATGTCGTGAAGAATAAATAACGTAAGTGCTTTGATTTGCTGCAGTTGACCACCACCGTTACCAATGACCACTTTTGCTTGCAATCGGTGTTGCTACCAGCAACAAGTGGTCTCAATGCAACATTAGAAACCAAAAAACAAATACAAAGAATGGAAAACTTAAAAAAAAAAAAACAAGAGAGGTGACAATAAAAAAAACATAAATTGTAATGTTCAAAACAGAAAAGAACCCCACAAAATGCAACTCTCAACAAAGCAAAATGTCCTACAAGCAAGAATATAAACAACAGAAAATTAGCTTAACCATTATATTTTTTAGAAACTGTATAGTTGTATAAGATAAAATAAAAGACTACAAAACACATTTTACAACAAAAATGACTTTAATTTCTTTTCCTTTGATGAAGGAACAAAAAGAGAGGGTTCAAGCTACGTGGATCAGCAACAATGTTTTATCAATGCGAGGAAGGCATAATGGCGGGCGATGAGAATAATGTTGGGAGAAGTCTAGATTGACAATCAATGCTAGACAGCAATCCACGCCTTTTCTTTCGACCCACAACCGATGGTTTGTTTGCTGTAGAAGAGGATGCGGATGTCATAATGCTATCACTTAAGCAATGACAGGGGCCCTCTTCCTTGTTAAGCTACTTATCTCATTCCCACCATTACTTCTCCCCTGCTCAGACCTTTTACTTTTGGCATCATTTCCATTTTCTTTTAGATAAATAAAAAAATGAGTGAAAATAAAGAACTCATACACCCCACATTTCTAAAATATTATACACGTGAAATAAAAAAAAGTAAAAATATTCACAACAAATCAAAAGAAAAAGGATATTTCAAATGATTTACTTGTACTCAAACAAATAAACAAAAGCTCAGGTCGGTAGGAAAGGAAATCTATTGCGAGGATAAAAGAGTTTGGATTCAATGACAAAAATTAATCATTGTAGAACACCGTATAACTGAATTCAAGCAAAACCTGAATCATGATAGTTAGAACCGTAAGATCTGCATCCAGATTATATACAAAATCAGTTCAAATCCGGAACAAATTAAGAACGAATTAAGAACAAATGCAACAAGTTTAGTAACAATGAAGCAATAATCACTCACCGATTCCTTAATCTGCCAGAAAAATAAGGCCAGAAGAACTTGTATCCAGAAGATCTTCGGTTCAGGTCCACGGCAGGACGCCGAGACATTAAATCCTTTTTTTTGTAGGGTAAAAAAAACAGATAGCTAGGGCAAGCTGTATCCATTTTGTAAGTTTTTTTATTTGGGCCTCAACCCATTGTACTCAGAAATTCAATTTCGGATAATAACTCTTATATCTCATATTATTTAAAATATATTTTGAAATATCCTTGATTGTATGGTAACACCTCTCAGTACTATTTTTTTGGAAATATATTTCGGTATTTTTAAAAATTGTGATATTTTACTCAAAGAGTCTATTCTCTCAATATAGGCATTAGACTAAAAGTTATTTTACTTTGACAAAATGAAGAATTTTATTTAAATTTAATAAAATACTCTCTCCGTCCTAAAATTAACTTTCCAATTTGATTTTTGTAGTCAAACTTTTTAAACTTTGACCGTATATTACGGAAAAAAATACATTGAATTTTCATATAAATTTATTAGTAATAGATTCATTTTGAAACATAGTTTTGAAATATATAATTTTATAAAATATATTTATATAAAAATTGAGATATTGGTGGTCAAAGTGTCGCATTGGAGACCGTTAAAAGTCAAATGGAAAGTTAATTTTAGGACGGAAGGAGTAATGGTTATCAATATAAAATTTAGTATTTATCAAAGTAACAGAACTTTCAATCATAGAATGTACTCCCGAAATACATTATCAAAAATTTTAAGAATCTCAGAGTATAATTTAGATAATATGGGCCCTGAGAGTTATTATCAAAAAATTAAGGGAGGTGTATTCAATTAAGATTATAAAAGATTTAGATAGATTTTGATGTATTTTATTAGCAGGATTTTATAAGATTATGTTTGATTGTCTATAATCCATAGATTATTTATACATAAATATGAATTATTTTATAAATTTATCCATTGTTGTCCCAATCGTAGGCCAAAAGCTAAGGCTTAATATTACAGCATTATATTATGCCAAAATTGCAGAATATACGGACTATATTTGTAGAACATTTACAGGTATGGGACTGAACATAACCCAAATCCCAGATTGAATTATTTTAAATAAATAAATAATAAAATAAATAATCACCCAGATTAGATGCTGGTCTCAACTCAAACTGAAAACCTTAAATTTTTTCCAGTCTTTTAAGCTGCTTCTTCCAACCAAAAGCTAGCAAAACACCAGAAAGACCTCAAACGAATAGAAACCCACCACTTATAAACATGTAATTAAACTACCCATAAGGAAAATAGTAGATCAGATAGATCTTGGTGTGGAATTTATGGGGTGAAGAAGAAGAAGAAGAAGAAGAAGAATAAGAAGAATAAGAACTAACATACGGACTATATTATCTTGAAGGCTTGTATCCGATGGAAAGGAGATCGAGAACTCTTGGTGAAGAATAGAAGAAGAAGATTTTAGAAGAAGGAGATCGAGAATTGCGACCGGCTCTTGGACTCTTGCAAATACCTGCAGTTTTGGTTGGATTTGAAAACAGATTTTTTATTTATACTTCAAGCCAAAAATCCATTAGAATCCATTTTTTTAACAATCTTTAAAAATCTATCAACTTTCCAATATCATTAGATTTAGAAAGATTTTTTAAAATCTCAATTGAATACTTCCAGAATTTGATTGATTTTTAAAAATCTTAATTGAATACCCAATGACTTTTAAAATCCATAAAAATCTTATGAGTCTGGATTGAATACACCCCCTAAGAATACCCAAAGTAGATTTAAGATAATGTAGGACATGAGAGTTATTACCAGAAATTCAAGGATACTCATAGTGTTTGTTTGTATAGAAAGCACAACTTTCATTACCACCTCAAAAAAAACATATAGAAGAAGTTTACCAACTCACTATTACATTTTCTTCCTATAAGTGTAATAGCTTGTTTCTCATTCAAGTTTACCAACTCCCTATCACATCGTCTGATAGGGAGTTGGTAGTAGCTTGTTACTCATTCTCCATATACAGTATACACAACCAGCCCATACAGCCATCATCTCCAATCGTTTCTTCCTTGTTTTGGTCTTATGTACCATGGCCTCGAGGTCCTCAAATTTGGCCACCTTAATGTTGAAGTTGAACCTATTGAAACTATTATTGATAATACTTTGTGCAAAGGAGCAATCCCAAAGGATATGTTTATCAGTTTCTTCTTCATTACAACAAAGGTAACAATACATGTTAATAGTATAGTATTGGCATAATCTTACTTTTGTTTGGATCCTCCCTCTGACCAACAACCAAGTCACCAATTAAAAATTTAGGTGGGATAAGTTTATTCCACACACAGTCTTTCTACCTAAGAGTTCTCCCTTCTCCTTGTAGCCAATCGTACCCTTCACTAATTCTAAAGGCCTTCATATTTGGCATGCTTTTGAAAACTTCTCTCACTTTGATCATCTTCTTTTAATAACGGCAGGAGTTCAGCCTTGGAGTATAATCCCAGAAATCTACTCCTTTGAGATATCTGCTATGAATTTATCTTACCCATAATATCTTTTTTCAGTTATATCCCACTTTAGCTTCATTATGGTGGCCGGTTTTTTTCAGTTAGAGGCATTCTTGATACCCAACACTCCATACTTCTTCTTCTGACCTTCATCCCAATTGACCAATAGTAGCTTCATGTATTCATTTGAACTTCCCCACAAGAAGTTCCTACATATGGCCACGATCTTTTTTCATAACTTGCTTGTGGAGTATGAAGATCCTTGTCCAAAAAGTTATGACTCCCATCAGCATTAAGTTGATAACTCTGCCTCTAGTAGTATATGAGAAACGTTTGGAACCCAAATTAAGTTGTAATCTAACTAGTCAGTTTGCTGATTAGTGCTTCAGAATCACTTGGTTTCAACTTTGTTGTTGTAATAAGCCTGCCAAGATAAGTGAAGGGTAATTTACCCAGCCTCATACCACCCAGATCAAGCATTGTTTTTTGAGTCAATTGATTCACTCCTCCAAAGACTATTAGAGACCTGCTTTTATTAATACTCAAACCAGTAGCATGTTTAAACTCATCTAATACTCTCATGAGACAAGAAGAGACTTTTGATCAGCTTTGCTAACCACTATAAGGTCATCAGGAAAATAAATATTCACAAATTTTTAATTCATACATGGGATGAAATTTTAACACTACAAAATTTTTCTTAATCTGCGACGAAACATTTTTGTCGCAAAACCTCTATTTTGGTCACAGAATTCTGAATTGCGATGGACTCGCGACGGAAACAATTCGTTGCAAAAAAATTGCCGCATTTCCAAAATTTGCGGCGGAAACATAAATTTGTCGCATCTCTACAACGGAATCTGCGACGGCATGTCCTTTTTTATTTTGTGACGAAAACAACAATTTGTCGCAGATTGCGATGGTTTTTAGTGAAAAATATATGTGCTCTCCTCTTTTGTACCTTGCGACAGCCTGCAACGGAATTGACTGTCTGTCGCAAATGCATTAGTTTTGCAAAGAAGTTTCTACTGCAATTCCTTTTTACCACCAATACAACAACAGGGAAATAACACAGTAAAATTTGACTCCAAAGTCAAAATTAACTTGGGTGGTGCAGTTGAAGAGGGTGGGGGGTTGTTCGGGTCGGGACCGGGGTGGGGGAGTTTATCATAGGAGTTAGAGGGTAGGAACCGTCAATTTTACGAACGTGGCACCAGAGCACCCCCGGGTCATCTCATGACATTGATTCTCAATGTCATGGGAACCTGCCCCTATGGATTAATATTAACGTTGAATGTTTTTGACCCATACTTCATGTATTGTCGGTCACTGTGTCACACCTAAGCGTCCCTGTTTTTTTGAGTTTGAAAAAGTGAACTTTCAATTTTTTCTAATTTAGCTTCTTCTAGTTTCTTTCTGTCAAAGGAACCAATTCAACCACAAGCTCAAGCTTGTGGTTGTGGCCCAGGAATGATTATTATATACTCTAACACGCCCCTCACGTGCAGGCATGACCTCTTTGAGCCTTGCACGTGAAACCTTAATTTTTTTAAACTGGGTGGCGGTGAGTTTCGAACTCGTGACCTCTTGGTCATCAAGACTCTGATACCATGTCAAAGGAACCAATGGAACCAATTCAACCACAAGCTCAAGCTTGTGGTTGTGGCCATTATTATATATATACTCTAACACTTTCTACTTCTTTAGTTCTTTCTAACTCCTTCCACTTTTTCCAACATAACGATTTAAAAAAGAAATTTATATATGATGAATATACGATAACGTTATACATTGAAGTTGATAACGTATCACTTCAAATACGGACAAGAATACATTTTTTAAATTTAAAATTAGAGTTTTCTTACATATGTATATATTTGGATGATCATTTAAATACATTGCATGACTTTTTAACACATTAAATCTTCCAACAATTTCCAACGCATTCGAGTTTTTTTTACTTGTTCTCGCTAGTTTTTTCTAACTTCTTTCATTTTCATCCAACATCTAACGCTGAAAGTCTAACCTAAAAAATGTTACTTTAGTCCTAGTTTCTTGAAGGATAAAGCTATTTGTATCTCAAGCCTTTGTACCCCATTTTATACATCGCAGTTTTGCACCAACATTTTGTGTTGGTGTAAAACTAATTTTTGTTAGCGTAGCAACACTTTGTATTCGTATAAATTTTTGTTAACGGACTAACACTTATGTCGGTGTAAACCATCAAAATATTTGTGTATAACTGCGGTGTATAAATTTAGTAAAATTTTTGGTGTAAGTGTACCATGGTCCGAAAGGTTTAAGTTGCCAACTTGCACAAATTGGCATCTCTATTATGTATCGGATGGGTGATGGGTCCATACACTTTCATCAATCACATGCATTGCTGTCTAGGGTTTTCTGTGCTCACTATCTATGCACCCAAACCCAAAGGTCACTCACTGCATACTGTTCTATATAAGCTAATAAGCATCTCCTCAACTTCTTGATCTTCATCATCATATATCATCACTACCACCGCAGCTAGCCGGCCACCATATCATGGAGACCTCAAAGTTATCATCATCGCCCCTTCTCCTCCTCTCCATGCTCTTCATTTCCTCCTTCACTACTCCTATTTCCGGCTGCGGCGGCTGCGGCGACCAGAGGCCGCCAACTCATCACAAGCCCCCGAGCCACGGGAAACCCGGACTCAAACCTCCGGGCATATTGCCACCCATCATCACCAAGCCTCCAGGAATAGGAGGAATTGTCCCTCCGGTCACCCTCCCGCCGGTGGTGACTCCGATCACCAACCCGCCGTACTCGGGGGCCGGAAAACCGTGCCCAACCCCACCATCACCAGCGACGTGCCCCATCGACGCCCTGAAGCTGGGGGGGTGCGTGGACATCATGGGGGGGTTGATCCACATCGGGCTGGGAGACCCGGCGGTGAACGAGTGCTGCCCGGTCCTCAACGGGCTTCTGGAGGTGGAGGCGGCGGCGTGCCTCTGCACAACCCTAAAGATAAAGGCACTCAACCTCAACATTTACGTCCCACTCGCCCTTCAGCTCCTCGTCACCTGCGGCAAGACTCCTCCACCCGGTTACACTTGCTCCCTTTGAACCCCCATCCCAAAAGGTTAATTATACTAATTTAAACGTTTTCCAGTAATTTTCTTTTCATTCACCCCACCGCCGCACGCATAACGCTCTATTTAAAATTTTCCTGCGAGTAATTTTTCGATGCAATCTCGTGACTTGTTAGCTATATGTATGTGGGCGCCTACACATATTGTTTTTTACTCCGTTCTCTATTTAAAGGCAAAATGACAAACAAAATTTGACCCATTTGATCTCATTTGATTTCGATAAATTGAAAGAACAAGCTCTTACATAGAAATCACGTACATACTCCTCTGTCCCATAATTTTTCTTTGCCACGATTTTTAACAAAATGAAATGGGAGCGATTAGATTTTTTGTCTAGAGAAAATATGATACTCCTTCCGTTCCTAAAAGAATTCCCATTTTGATTTTTAAAAGATTTAAGGTGAGTGTATTTTGATGTTGACTTTCCAAAAATGTCCTTTAATCTAATGAATAAAGTAGATTAATAAAGAAAAAAATATGATATCATAGGTATCTTAAGAATTAGTAAGATTAAAAGTAGCTTTTTAATAAAAAAGGTTATTTGGGACTGGTGAAAAAAAGAAAGGAAGAGAATTTTGTGGGAAGAGGAAGTAGAAATGATATAAACCACATAATTGTTTTTCTATAACAAAAAATAAAAAAAGAAAATTTTGTAACAACTAACAACCTAAATAAAAATCCTAAAGAAAAGTTCTCCGGCCCGGTCGTAACTATTTTTTCTTGGATTGGTTTGGCACAATTTTCACCAAGTGCAATGTGTTTTTGGAGCAATTGTCCTTATTTACTGTTATTATTCTAAAAAGAAACAATGATTTGTCATTTGTTTCTTTTAACACTAACATTTCTTTCGGTAGAAAGGCCAGTTGTGAATTTTTTTTAATTTTTCCCTATTTTTTTCCTGAATATATCACCTTTACTATCATCAAGATCAATTATTGAATTTGTGTGTTCCTCCCTAGTCCCTATCATTGCTATATACTACCTCCGTCCCAAAAAGATTTACACATTTTGACTAAAGTTGAAATTAAGAGAGATAATTTTGTGTTGACTTTCCAAAAATACCCTTGATTTGATAGGTAAAAGTAGATATGATGTGTAGATTATTAGGAAGAAGGTATGATGCGATAGGTAGGGTTTGAAAAAGTAAGGAGTAAAAGTGGTTTTTTAATAGAAACGGATAGAAGATTGTGGAACGCAATTTTTTTGAAATGTGTAAATCTTTTTGGGACGGGGAGGGAGTAAAAGTTAAAATAACAGGAAAGTTATTGATACGGCACATGCATCTTCTTTTATATATACATCGTTCTGTACGTGATTGGCTGCTTGAAAATTATTCAATTAAATAATACTCGCAGCTGAGTATTTGGTTGGCATGCAGTTCCTATATATATAGAATTTTATTTTTTCAAAGTGTTTTCCCCTCTGATTATTATTGTTAATTAAGTGATTAATTATTGTGTAATTAATAATCTTTGGTGTGTTTTTGCAGGTTCTAAATTACGTTCAAGGCGCGGTTTAGGTTTGAAGGATTGACATGAAAGGATGTCAAACTGTTAGGCCCGTGACTCTCTCCATCCCTCCCCATTATTGCTTTTCTATCTTTCAAAGCTCTCTCTACAGTGTGTTGTGGACTGGATTTGTACGAGCACATTCGTTTTTTTTTTCTTTGAATTTGCGGCTGTGATTTATTTTTCAAGTGCTATTTTGTTCAATTCTATTCACTCCCTTTGATGAGGGACTGAAATTTATAAGTGGTGTTGGGTAAACGAACGTTTCTAACTTTCCTATTACACACTACCTCAAGATCATTTCTCATGAGGTGCTAGATGGAAATTGTTGGAAAGTGGATAAAAAATGAATGGTGGACGATGGGTGGTTTAATTTGCATTGCAAAGTGGAGTACATAATGGTGTAACTCTAAGAGCACTGGTAATATGTATGAAGCTCCGGGGTTTCATACCTTCTATCTATCACATCAGCTTTAATTAATAGAGTAAATTATATAAAAGGTCCCCAGTTATAGGTCGTTTTACATATTTAGTCCCTACATATCAAATATTACTAATTTAGTCCCCAATTATTATATTTATTTCCACGAATGGTCCTTTGTTAACATTTCCATTAAGAACGTGGATAAAATTGTATATTCATACTTCTCTCTCTCCTCAATTAAGCTTTCTTCATCTTCTCATACTCTTTCCAAACTCGTCGCTGAGTTTGAAGCTCTTAAACCCAAAATTTAAATGATCGTTCCTCCAGTTAGACAAACAATTGAGAGAAGAGTGATGATTTTGGTTTTGGGTTCAAAGCTAGAAACTCAGCGACGGGTTTGAGAAAGGAGACAAGGGAGGAGAAAGCTTAATTGAGGAGAGAAAGGAGTGTGAATTTATAATTTTATCCACGTTTTAATGAAAATGTTAACAAAGGACCATTCGTAGAAATAAATATAATAATTGGGGACCAAATTAGTAATATTTGATATGTAGGGACTAAATATGTAAAACGGCCTATAACTGGGGACCTTTTATGGAATTTACTCTAATTAATACCAAAATTTCACTAGAAATGGGTTTGAAGCCCTGAGACTTCAAACCTCTATTTTTTACATTTTTAAATACACATCCTTTAGAATTAAATTAATAACATTTTATTATTTAATTGAATTTAAAGGACAAAAATTCATTAAATAAAAAAATACATTCAATAAAAAGTACAGTAATAAAATAAGATTTGAATAATAACAACAACAATAATAAAAATATAAATTACATTACATTACGAAAAAATTATTGATTATTCGAATGACTAAAAATATCTTCATTCAAATCCGTCGTTAGTGCATTGTGAATATCTCGGCTTCAGATTTCTTGGGGGTTTCTTTGTTTCTTTTCTTCATCGATTTCTTCGCACGTAAACACCTTCGATCCTCGTCTGAGTTGTAATGACATAATGCAAACACATTGTCCCCTATGATTAGTTTATGAAGAATAATACATGCGTACATGACATTCCTCATTTTCGTCTAAGAATAACACTTGGACTGATGATCTAGTATGTACCACTTACCTTCAACACCCTGAAGGCTTAGCTCGTTCGATATCTTTTCTCGCTGCATTATGAGCTTTTTTGTAGGTTTGGCGTTTAAGACCCATTAGTTTAGAGGGAGGCTTGACAGCCATGAAATAATCTAGATATGTTCCACCCACAAGATAATATCCACGTTTGTAAAGCATCCTTGTAAACTCAAAAGACGAGCCGTGTACAGTCTCATTAATCTAATCATCAAAAACAGGCGATTGATCAAGAACATTGATGTCATTGTTCGAGCACGCAACACTAAAAAAGCATGTCAAAATCACAAGTCATTCAAGTCCACATCTTCGAGCATGATAGTAGGCCTGGGATAATCACCCAGGGAAAACTGACCATGTCACGTAGTGGGATAATTTTTCTATTCCCAATGCGTGCAATCGATACTCCCAAGCATGCCGACAAAGCCGTGTTTAGCGGCATGTCAAGCCTGTAACTGCTCAATGTTACTCGATGTCGGTTTACCTAAATACGTTTTATGATAAAGTCGAATAATAGCTTTAGAAAATTTATAAACACATGACCTATTGCTCTGAGGCGACATCTTCAAGTATTCGTCGAACATACCAGATCTCATCCTGTATGCCATCTGACGAAGCGTGGCGGTGCACTTCTGGATGCTGCTAAAACCGCACCGGCCCCTCGCATCAAAGCGTTGGGTGAACCAAGGCACCTCGCATTCAATATCGGTGAGTATGTGTAAAAAAAGAGAACAACTCATCCGAAAACAATTACAAAATCCTCTAGTGTGTAAACACACGGAGTATTGAAGTAGTCATTGAGTAATTAATGAAGCGCGTGCAGCCGCCCGATCACAGTTTAAATGCTCACATCGAGTCGGGCGTCGGTGTCGGGAGGATTCCGCTTCTTCTAGTTGGGCTTGTTTCCACCATTGATAACAACCCGTCACGAAATAAAGAAAAATGAGAGCTCTCTTTTCATCTTCAAATGAAGATGATCTCATTTTTCAAATATTTTCTCGAGAGAGTTAAAAAATTAAAATATATTTTGGAGGAAATATGGGGAGAATGAGGATACTTGTGTGTGTGTTAAACATGTTAAGTATATTTCTTGTATATAATTATAGTACACTCCTTATTTGCATATGATCCATATTTATTATTGTTTCCTTATTGTAACCCCTTCTTATTTGTATACAAAGGGAGGTGGATTCATTGTATTAATTATTGAAAACAATAATTTTTCATGGTATCGGAGTCAACCCTAGGCTAACCTCGAAACCTTCCCTTCCCTCTCTCTCGGTGTTGCTCTCTCTGCCGCCGCCCCTCTTTCCCCCTCACGGCAGCCTCTCTCGCCAGCAGCTTCTCATGCCGGCACCCTCTCTCTAAAATAACACCCCACAAATATATTATCATGGCTACGGAAAAATCAACCTCTTCCCCACCTACCCCCCATCTTGCGTTTACAACAGTCTCCAGCGTCAAACTCCAGGTTCCTATTACCCTCAGTTTCTCGGAGCCAAATTACAAAAAATATAATGGAGCCGTCTTTTCCTTCTTTTAGTTCGACTTTTCAATCTTGAAGGCTTCCTCACCGGTGAGAAAACCTCAACCGGAAAAGATGACGTCGAACGGCTCCAACTAGACGCTCTCATTTAAGGATGGATTCTCTCTACCGTCAACGATGAGGGGTCAGATGATACGGATAGTTAATTATAATATTTCAATTAGCTATATTATTATTTAGTATTTATTTATTATTATTTAGTAATATTCTATAGATTAGGGTTTTTATATGGGCCCTAGCCCATTAGGTCATGTAGGTGGACGTCTCACCGTTATATATTGTAATCGCGTATCATTATCAATCAATCAATCAATAATCAAGAATTCTCTTAATCTCTCGTCTCTCTGTTCTTGGAGCCCGGAAACGCTCGAAGTTTTCCTTCTCTCTTTGCCTCCCTTTTCTTGGAGCCCGAAGACGCTCGAAGTTCTTCCCTATCCGATACGATATTCGTATCAATTGGTGCTCTCATTGAGAGAACACAAGTAAAATCCACAAAAAAAATTGCCGATCAGATTCACTACCATCTTCTTTGTTTGTGATAATTCTCCTTTACAAANATAGTTAATTATAATATTTCAATTAGCTATATTATTATTTAGTATTTATTTATTATTATTTAGTAATATTCTATAGATTAGGGTTTTTATATGGGCCCTAGCCCATTAGGTCATGTAGGTGGACGTCTCACCGTTATATATTGTAATCGCGTATCATTATCAATCAATCAATCAATAATCAAGAATTCTCTTAATCTCTCGTCTCTCTGTTCTTGGAGCCCGGAAACGCTCGAAGTTTTCCTTCTCTCTTTGCCTCCCTTTTCTTGGAGCCCGAAGACGCTCGAAGTTCTTCCCTATCCGATACGATATTCGTATCAATTGGTGCTCTCATTGAGAGAACACAAGTAAAATCCACAAAAAAAATTGCCGATCAGATTCACTACCATCTTCTTTGTTTGTGATAATTCTCCTTTACAAATTCCTGCTAGAATTGCTCAAAACCTAGCCGCTGCAATTTTTGGTTCTATTTGCCAAAGCTTGTGTGTCTAGTTCATTGATTTGAATAAAACAAAAAAAAGGCCTCGCTGCAGGAACACAGGAGCCGTGGACGACGAAGAACCCCTGCCAAAAAAAATCTGAATTCCAATTGAAAACTTGATTTGCAGGAGGAATTTTGTTGCACCGCCGAATACGGAGGTTCCTCCCTACTTGCTGCCACAATAGGCGGCCCAAAAATAAAGGAGTCACAAAAGGAGCCATCCAGATCGTGCGACAATTCAAAGGATGGATGCTTTTACTCAGTCGTTGAATCAAACGCAACAAGATTTTTCATTCCGAATGGAGGCGCGATTCGCTCGGTTAGAGACTTTAATTGTGAGTACTTGTACATTGGACAAACTTATTGATTTGTTGGAAAATGTTTTATATGGGGAAATTGATCTAGACGAAGGAGTGTGTGGAGTTTATGATCATGTGGATGAACTTATAAAGACGCTCCGGTTGTTTCGCCATACTACTGGTCAGCCAAATTATGACTCCGACTTGTACGCGTTTGATGTAGAAATCTCTTGCTCCATACAAGATATGGTTCGTGGTCCCCCAATTTTGCCGAGTTTGATTCCTTGGGAGTTACAAAACTTTAGAACAAACATGTTGGGCTGTATAAAAATTCTCATTGACACTCCGCCATATGCGCCAAATGTGGTCTCTACAGCAATTGAGCAAAATGCAGAAGCACAGAATCACGCGTCCAAGGAGGAATTAAGCGTTGACTCACAAGTTGGAGAAGAAGTGGACATCGTGCCTGAAGCAATAAACAAAGATGACGGGGGTTCCAACGTTGTGGAAAAAAATGAAGGTTCTCTTGCAGAAGACGATGTTGCTAATGTCGACGAGCCGGATTCTACTTTTCACGAATTTTATATCTCAGCTGGAGTGGCCATTGCAAAGTGTGATGTTCTAAATAGTGTTGACAAAGTGGCAGATGCATATGCTAAGCAAGCACACTCACCTATGTTGATTGACACCATCACGCTGTTTAAGCTTGTCGATGTGGTCAAGACGGAGCACCTGATTTCAACGAGAGCAACTACATATGTTCTACTCCCCATCTCATCTTTCCATCACTTTGCTCCAAGATCCAAGATGGTTGAAGATTCAAAGAGTGGATTGCTCCTTTGGTTCAGTATTCTTTCTCCGGTCCTAAAGCACGAGTGGGAGCCTCCACCTTGAGGACAAGGTGGATTTTAAGGGGGTGGGAATGATACGGATAGTTAATTATAATATTTCAATTAGCTATATTATTATTTAGTAGTTATTTATTATTATTTAGTAATATTCTATAGATTAGGGTTTTTATATGGGCCCGAGCCCATTAGGTCATGTAGGTGGACGTCTCACCGTTATATATTGTAATCGCGTATCATTATCAATCAATCAATCAATAATCAAGAATTCTCTTAATCTCTCGTCTCTCTGTTCTTGGAGCCCGGAAACGCTCGAAGTTTTCCTTCTCTCTTTGCCTCCCTTTTCTTGGAGCCCGAAGACGCTCGAAGTTCTTCCCTATCCGATACGATATTCGTATCATCAGATCTCATCATCTCCTCCACCACATCCGCTGCAGATCTTTGGAATACTATATATCCACAACTTGTTTCACGATAACAAGGCTGCCAGAGTTTTGCAATTTGAGCAACAATTCTTCAACACCGTCATAGGAACATCTACCATTGCCTCGTATTGTCAGGCGCTTCAAAACATTGCCGATTGTCAGACGCTTAGAAACAATTATTCAACACCGACATATGCTTAATTGCATGACTTGTTAACATTTTAATTTTTCTACTCCTTCCGTTCTTTAAAATCCTTCCGCCCTAAATTTTTGCGCACCTCATTAAACGTTTTTACTCCCACATAAAACATCTAAAATATACCCCATTATGTAGTTTATTGCGGGTATAAGTTGTTTTAGGGGTATTTTAGACATTTTAGGTGGAATAAAAGTATTTTATGGGCTGCGCAAAAAATTAAAATGGAAGTGTTTTGTGGAACGGAAGGAGTAACATTTTCCAACTCATTTGAGTTTTTTCTACTCGTTCTGACTAGTACTTTTTTCTTCTTCCAATTCTATCTAACATCCAACTCTGAAAGTCCAATATAAAGAAGGTGAGGTGGCTTTAGTCCTACTTGTTTTTTGGAAGGTTTAAGTTGCCAACTTGCACAATTGGCATCTCTATTATGCATTGGATGGGTCCATACACTTTCATCAATCACATGCATTGCTCTCTAGGGTTTTCCGTGCTCACTATCTATGACCCAAAACCAAAGGCCACTACTCACTAGATACTGTTCTATATAAGATAATAAGCATCTCCTCCACTTCTTGATCATCATCATACATCATCACTAGCTACCATATCTCATTATCATGGAGACCTCAAAGTTATCATCATCGCCCCTTCTCCTCCTCTCCATGCTCTTCATTTCCTCCTTCACCACTCCTATTTCCGGCTGCGGTGGCTGCGGCGACAAGAGGCCGCCAACTCATCACAAGCCCCCGAGCCACGGGGAACCCGGACTCAAACCTCCGGGCATATTGCCACCCATCATCACCAAGCCTCCAGGAATAGGAGGAGGAGTAGGAGGAATTGTCCCTCCGGTCACCCTGCCGCCGGTAACGCTGCCACCGGTGACGACCCTCCCGCCGGTGGTGACTCCGATCACCAACCCGCCATACTCGGGGTCGGGAAAACCTTGCCCAACCCCACCATCACCAGCGACGTGCCCCATCGACGCCCTGAAGCTGGGGGGGTGCGTGGACATCATGGGGGGGTTGATCCACATCGGGCTGGGAGACCCGGCGGTGAACGAGTGCTGCCCGGTCCTCAACGGGCTGCTGGAGGTGGAGGCGGCGGCGTGCCTCTGCACAACCCTAAAGATAAAGGCACTCAACCTCAACATTTACGTCCCACTCGCCCTTCAGCTCCTCGTCACCTGCGGCAAGACTCCTCCACCCGGTTACACTTGCTCCCTTTAAACCCTCATGCCAAAAGGTTAATACTCCGTAGTAATTTAAACGTTTCTCCAGTAATTTTCTTTTTAAAGAGTGAAATTTTCCTGCCAGTAGTTTTTCGATGCAATCTCGTGACTTGTTAGCTACATGTATGTGGGCGCCTACACATCTTGTTTTTTACTCCCTTCTCTATTTAAAGGCGAAATGACACAAACAAAATTTGCCCCACTTCCGCTGTGACACTATTTTACTTACTCCTTCCCATATGTGATATGATAGGCATGTTAAGAATTAATAGAGATAAAAATGACTTTTAATAAAGAATTGAAAGGATTTTTTTGAACGAATGAAAAAAAAGAAGAGGGTTTGAAATTTTACGTTTTTTGTAATCAATTATTTAAGCATTTCACTTCTAATAATCTAATTTAAACGCCATACTTTTCAGTTGTAAGCACGTAGCCCTACATTCAGACCTCTTTCCAATAATTACTCTATAATCGTAGATCACTTTATAAAGTACTACGTGACACACTTTGAGCTTATTCTATATTCTGATCTGAATGTAGTCATACTTAAAACCACTTCGATCTATCTAATTCTTGTCGGATTGGTTTGGCACAATTTGTGCAATGTGTTTTTGCAGCAATTGTCCTTATTTACTTTTATTATTGTAAAAAGAGACAATGATTTGTCTTTTGTTTCTTTTAACACAAACATTTCTTTTAATTTCTTTCGGTAGAAAGGCCAGTTGTGAAATTTATTTAGTTTTTCCCTATTTTATTTCTGAATATATCACCTTTATTGTCATCAAGATCAATTATTGAATTTGTTTGTTCCTCCCTATCATTGCTGTATAAAGCAACAGGAAAATTATTGATATATAGTTACATGCACCTTCTTCTATATATACATCGTCCTGTACGTGATTGGCTGCTTGAAAATTATTTAATTAATTAATACTCGCAGCTGAGTATTTGGTTGGCAGTTCCTATATATATACGGAGTAGAATTTTATTTTTTTCAGTGTTTTTTCCCCTCTGATTATTATTGTGTAATTAATAATCTTTGGGGTGTTTTTGCAGGTTCGCAATTACGTTCAAGGCGCGGTTAAGGTTTGAAGGATTGTCATGAAAGGATGTCAAACTGTTAGGCCCGTGATTTCATTATTATTTAAATCTTAATTATCTACCCTACCCTAGACTCTCTCCCTCCCTCCCCATTATTGCTTTCAAAACTCTCGCTACAGTGTGTTGTGGACTGGATTTGTACGAGCACCTTTGTTTTTTTCTTTCTTAAAATTTGCGGTTGTGATTTATTTTTCAAGGGCTAATTATTTCAATTTTATTCACTTCCTTTGATGAGGGACTGAAATTTCTAAGTGGTAGGGTGTTGGGTAATTGAACGTATCGAATAATAGATCTCGACTTACCCGCTTGCTCTCGGCCCAATGGAATTTTAACATGTTTATTTAAAAAATCGAAAATGAAAAAAGATGGCAAAAGTAATTAATTCAATTCCATTCGGAAGGGGCACATGTTTCGGATCATTGACTGTGTTCTAGAGTCATTCACTCTCAATCACTCATACAACTTTTGTAGTACTTTTACTAAGTAATATACCAGAGTTTTTACAAGAGTACTTTGTAACATCCAAAGCCAATTCAAGTACGTATGAGTCGTAACCATTATATATATATATATATATATATATATATATCATCATTAAGAACAGCTTAATTGATTCTGAAAAGATTTTTTGTCTTTTGGTTTTCTAAAGCACCCATTAAATGATGGAGACTTCAGAGCTCATCATAATCACAGTTTGTCTTGTTTCCACGCTCTTTAAAGCTTCGTTAGCTCTTCCCCTCGTAAAACCACCAGCTCCAATGCCGGCATTATGGCCGCCACCCCCGGGTGCAAAACCGCCGAGAGCTCAACCTCCAAAACCACTACCGCCAGTCCCAACGCCAGCGCAACGGCCGCCACTGCACGTGCCCCCGCCGCCAAAGGCGCTTCCACCACCGCCTCCGGCGACTTGCCCGATAGACACGATGAAGCTCGGGGCATGCGTGGACATACTAGGGGGGTTGATTCACATCCACATTGGTGACCCTGCGATAGGGCAGTGCTGCCCTATGCTTGGAGGACTGTTGGGGTTAGAAGCTGCGACGTGCATGTGCTCCACCTTCTGCATGAAGATGATGAATCTCACCATTTTTATGCCAGTGGCAATTGAACTCATTGGGATGTGTGGGATGTCCATTCCTCCCGGTTACAAGTGCGACATCTCATCAAGAATTAGCTCCAATGCAAGCAGCTATTGCTAAGTACATTTATTGAAAGAATCATTGTTCCTTGTCCACTCAATTATACTCCGTAAATGCTACCTTCCTTCCATAACACTATGTGTAGTACCTCATGGAGGAGATCCGTGATTCGCCGTGGCAGCGCCACGTAGGCGTGATCACGAGCGTGGACGTGGCCACGGTTTGTAAAAGATGTTTGAGTTCTTTTTTTATAGAGAAATTTATCTAAATAGGACTAAAACTTAATGACTTTCTCATTTAAGTCCTTTCAATTATTTTTTACTCCATCCGTTTCTTAAAACGGTTCCTATTTTGACTTTGAGGAAAATAAAGAAAGTGTAATTTTAGTTGACTTTTCAATGTTGCTCCTGATGTGATGGGTAAAATAAGATGTGATACTTTAGTTGTTAGTGAAAAAGTATGATATGATAGGTAGGGTATGAAAAAGTAGGGGTGAAAGTGGTTTTTTAATATAAAAGGGAAGTGTTTTAAGAAAAAAAATAAAAGAAGAAGGGTTTTAAGAAACGGAGGGAGTATAACATAATGTCTATTTTGTTCTTAAGTTTTTGTATGTAAGTCGTTACTTGACATATGATATACCGTTTGGAAATTATTTCACAAAATCTACCTAATGAAATCAATACTACATGTATAACTTTGAAGTTATATATAACCTTGCCCTAACTATAATAATAATAATAATAATAATAATAATAATAATAATAATAATAATAATAATAATAATAATAATAATAATAATAATAATAATAATAATAAAACATAATAGTACTCCGTAAATCATAATATAAAAATATTAATTTGATTAATTTTGTAAGTCATTGTTTGAATAAATTAGAAGACGTTCAAAAATAATAGAAGGAATTAAAAAAATGTAAAGAAGTTGAAAAAATTAGAACACTAATTGTAGTAGTAGTAACAATAATAATAGTAATAATAATATTAAAACATAATAGTACTCAATAATAATAATTATAACCATAATATAAAAAAAATTGATTAATTTCTTAAGTCGTTGTTTGAATAATTTACGAATTAGAAGATAATAGAAGCAATTGAAAAACATGTAAACAAGTCGGGGAAAACTAGAACAAAATGAAATATACTTAAAAGAGTTTGAAAATACGGGAAGGATTTAGAAAAACTAGAAGATGGTGGAAAAGAGAATCTGTTAAAAATAGTGGAAGGAATAGAAGAAAGTAGAATAAGTTGAAAACTTAGGAGTTGCAAAAGGTTGAAGTTAACTTTTTCACCCAAAGAAATACTCCTCCCTTCTCGACCATTTGTTTACTTTTAACTTTTTTCAGTCAAAATTAGTAAACTTTGATCTCAAACTAAAGAAAAATAATATTAGATATTGATACAAAACTGGATAAATACTCTTGGACAGAGGTGGTAGATTCTTAATTACTATGCGAGGTACGGTGGATTAATATCCCATTCTTTTGGGTTTTAAAAAATAGAGTTAGATGTTGGAAAAAATGAAAGGAATTAGAATAAATTGGAAAAACATAGAAAAAACTTGAAACATTCAAAACAAACTGGAAGGTGTTAGAAGAAAATTGATAGAACATCAAGTAGGGTCTCGAGTTGGAAGAAATTTGAGTGAAAAGAAATCAGAATTAGGAAAAATTTACAAGTGACTAGAAGGAATTAAAAAGAGTTAGAAGAAATTAAAAAGACTTTAAAATGATGAAGAATCTACAAGGGACTAGAAAAAATTAGAAAGAGTTAGAAGAAATTAAAAAGACTTAAAAATGTTGAGAAAATAAAAGCTTTTGGGATAAAAATTCTTACTTAAATTTCATATTTTTAATTTTAAAAAAATCATACTTTGTTTACTTCCTCCTGTCCTTAAAATCTTTCATGTTTTGAATTTTTTTAATTAAACAGTGACACTCTTTGACCATAAATTAAACATAATCTGAATAAATAAATAATATAAAAATTTAATACATCAAAATTATATCCTAAGATGAATCCAATTATATTAAATTTATATTATAATTAAGTATACGTTTCTTACAATTTATCATCAAAGTGTGTAACTGTTTGACCAAAAAAATCAAAATAGAAAAATTTTTTAAGAATGGAGGGAGGATATAGTTTCAATTTTTTGTTTCTTTATTATTTTATATATATCAGACTGACTTCATCATTGTCGTCGTGACTACTGCTATGTGATGAGGCCAACAAGCGTTGCATCCCCCGGGACTACTATAATCTCCAGACTCCAACGACTTTGAGAGATCTCATTTGACACCAGAGCCAACTTCAAGTGCGCACACAAACTCTCCCACGCTTTCATGTGAGGGAAAGACATTATGTTGGGTTAGGTACGTGTCCAACGCTGTTTTTAAAACGTCTTATCACTCACTTTGACGAGTGAGGGAGGTATAATTTTATATACCGGTGAACTTGTTGACTTTTATATATTCAAATTGTGGTACTTAGAGGAGATGGAGTTGATGCGGTGGTAGGGCTCCATATTCTTAATCGCTTGGAAACGAGTACGGATCCTAGCTCAAAAGTCGTTCGTATTTTTGGGTCGTCCCTAATCGTTAAAAGAAAAATTAGAAGTAAAAAAAATTGTAAGTAAAATTGTAAATAACAAAATAACCTTTAATTAGATCTTTTGAAACGTTCACCCACGCCCGAGCCAACATCCTCCTTTGCGGCATCTGCAATGGCTTTGCCCCCGACTCATTGACCCTTTATTGAGCACACTCTTCCCTTTGGATCTTCGTGTAAGTTGCGTTTTGAGAACACTCTCAAGAGTCCGGCCATTCCCAGAACATAACAAGAATTTATCAAAAATTGGCATTGTCACTCGAGAAATTGCAAATAATTAAGATCCATAATATGATTTTAGAAAATATTTACATAGATAAGAAAAAATTATATATGAAATAGGTTGAGAGAAAGTGTGATTTTAAAAAAGGTGAAGATTAAACAAAAAATGAGAAAAGTGCACCTTTACTTTTTGAACTTCTTTGAAATTGCATAGTTTATCATTGAACATTAAAAAAACACTGTTTACTTTTAAACTCTTTGAAAATTGCATGATTTACTCCTGAACAATGAAAAGTGCACCAAATACCTCTTAGCAACTTAAAACGTTGCACTGTTGGTCCTGAAATGCGGGATAGGGAGTGCGTTGCTCCGACACACAAGAATTGCGAGTATGACTTATCACACCCTTGTAAATTCTCCAAAGCACTCTTCCCCAAAATTATCATTTTTATTTAAATGTTTAAGGCCAAACCATGCAATTTCTAAAAAGTTTAGGAATAAATATCGCTTTTTTCTAAATAAAAGATTGGAAAAAATAATATTTTAAAAAACTAGCCGTTAAAGCTGCTAGTTTGGGGAGGCTCAGTGCGTGAAGACCGTGATAAGCATCACCTCTATCACGGTTACCGTAGAGGTAGGCAGTGTTCCACGCCCTGATGGAGGCCGATGTAGTCTAGGTGGCCATCACGGCTCACACGCTGAAGGGTCTAAGGGTAATCTACTAATCCCTTTTCACATGTAACAAGAGTAAGCGTAACTATTGTAGTAAGACCCAACCATTTTAACTCCCCAGCCAAAAACATCTGAATTAATAATAACACAAGGATTGTTCAAAATAATAATAATAATAATAATAATAATAATAATAATAATGATGATAATAATAATAATAATAATAATAATACAAGGAGATGGAAACAAGTGTTTTCATTCAGCACAGACCTAAAAGCAGAAGACAGAGCATCATCCCCTTGTTTCTCTCCTCATCACACAATATGTTGGGCAAGGCTGAGAATCTTGAGGTGCTTCTTTCTCCTAAGCTCATGCGGGACCGGGCCCATAACGCGGGTCCCGATTGGCTCGCCTTGCTTATTGATAAGAACGACAGCATTGTCGTCGAACTTGACCTCACTCCCGTCGCAACGGCCCCTTGGCATTGCGGCGCGCACAACCACGCCGTAATGGACTTCTCCTTTCTTCACTTTCCCACCTGCCTGTGCTTCCTTGACCGAGCAAACTATCGTGTTGCCCAACCTTGCCCCTTTCTTCCCCTTCAAAGCTTGTATGCACATCACTTTCTTTGCACCCGAATTGTCCACCACTTTAAGGCTGGTCCTCATTTGTATGAATGTCCTCATTTGCTGAAATATACATCATAATCCAACAATTTAATTCACAAGTTCACAACAAGAAGCCCAGTGGAATCCCACAAAAAAGTAGGGTGCAGGGAAAGTGTGTGTAGGCAGACATCTTACCCCTAAGAGACAACCACTCTTCATTTTTTTCATTTTGTATGCCTTCGTATCATTTACACAACACAATGATTTGCACGGAATTATGGATCGGGCAGAGAATTTTCAATCAAGTGAATCAATATCTGGTTATTTACTAAAAAAAGGTTTGAACTCGTAGTAAAGGTATTTATCTTCCATCATCTCCGATGGAGCCAAAATTTCACCATTTTTTGGTTTTGGGGTGTGATGGAATAAATCAAAATGGATCTCTAAACTGTCTGCGCTTATTTAATTAATGAAGTAGGAGTTAGTCAAGCAATGCAACTTTCGACGTTGAGCCGAGGGTCTCTTTGGAAACAGCCTCTCTACTTTCGAGTAGGGGTAAGGTCTGCGTATACACACCCTCCCCAGACCCTACTCTTGTGGGATTTAATTGGGTTGTTGTTGTTGTTGTTGTTGTTGTTGTTGTTGGGTTGGTGTACCGGAACTTGACACAACCTGGCCCAAATAACTGAAAGTTTAAGGAACTGGATTTTCAATGCCTAAAGAATAACACACAGACTCTCCTTTGGTTCTACTTTGGGCCTTGGGTCAAAACAGGACCCAACCCACAAACCAAGTAATATGTACGGAGTAATTTTTAATTCCTGCCGATTATCATCATATTCATCACTAGCAATGAACACAAAAAAACCCCAACAATCATGCAACAATAAGGCAGACTTACCTGTGTGTATCGATCATTTGATATAATCTCATGTGATGCTCTCATGAACCCAGCAGAGTTGTTACGGAGGTTCCCCAATAAGGAGTAGCCCGCTAAAGTAGTTATGTCACACATGTAAAAACCGTAAGTAATACGCATGTAGTTAATTAGCGAAAACTAAAAAGAGAACGATAGGTGTGTTTGGATGGACGAATTGGGAGTGTTAGTGGGTGGGTGAGGGAGGGAGGGTTGAGGATTATGTCTATATCTTGAACAATATAATGCTTCTCTTTTAAAAGTGCAATTAAAAGTGCCATCTCTCTTACCATGGAGCAATCGAGAAGATGATGATGTCATCACTAGAGACACAATCACCCGAAAAAACTTGTAAGACCCTTAGTTTCTCCCCTGAAAAAGAGGTGCATTGATGAGTCCCTTAATATCAAATTATAATGATCATAATGTTAGACTATACAAGTTGAAAAGAAATATGTTGAACAAAAGAAATTGACGGCCTACAATTAAGCATAAAAAGTGTGTTAAAATTTAAAACAACTGAGCAAAAGAAAACATAGGGTCCGTTTGAAACTCGGAAAATGTTTTCTCAAAAATGATTTACTTTTCAAAATTCAGATTCATTTATTGCTGTTTGGCTTGATGTTGGAAGACTCTACTCTACCGATTTAGTTCAATTTCCAGAAAATGAACATGTTTTGACATGATTCATTGATGCAGTTATGTACAGATTTGCAAAGCTAATACCTGCCACTCAAATATAACTACTGAAATCAAGACACACATAACCATTTATTATCTATCATCTACTTACACTAGCTAAGAGGCCCCCAGCTCGGGCAACACATAAAGCACACAAAGCACTAACACCATACACAAAGAGCAAACTAAAGGTAAAGAAAAGTGTATAGACAAAAAACACCACGCAAAGAAAGCACACACAGCAAGAGCCACAACCTATGAAGCACAGGTGTAGAGAACACGACAGTAGAGACACGCCATTAAATAGCCAAGAAATTGGAAGAGGAGAGGGAGACGCTTAGACAAGGAGAAGGAAAGCGAGAGAGAGGCTGAGAGATACGGAGTTTACAGATTAGAGGGGGATCGGAGAAGAGAATAGGATACCTGAAGAGTGACGCCCGAGAGATGGCGTCCGCTGTGTCGATCCGCAATGAACATGAGACTCAGGAGGCGGCAGAGTCCCTCTTTCTCTTTATCGTGCGAGCTATCTCACTTTGAGACTCCCCAATTAATTTTATTTATTAAAAAGTTCTATTTTTTCATTTTTGGCCCAAATTTTTTAACGTCTTACAAAATTGCTCCATTTGAAAAATAAAAACAAGGCAGCCGCACCCGTGCCACACTAAGCCACACCCACGCATCAGCACCCGCACGGTGCTTCGTGCACCTGTTTTTTGAAGCACCCATGCTTCATATGCCACAATTATGTCTTAAGGCCCAAAGGACTACCTAACCTTCAAATACTCTTATCAAAGGTCATATCCTTGATTCCTCGGTAAGTGCTAGAAAACTCAAATAATGTCTAATGACATCTTTCCAATTCTTCCTATGACTACAGACTACCCCTACCCCTTCCCCATCCACTACCGTAAGCCTCTCCCATCTCCATACTTAGGCCTTATTGTGTTCCCACATCACGTGACTAGTTTCCACAACTCTCCCACCCGTCCCCAAAGAACCTTGTTCCATGCCTATCCAACCTTGTGTTCCCACTTCCCACACATCCATTGCAGCATCTGCATCTCAGTCACATGCAAATAGCAAACGTGGGTTTTCTCTGCTGAGTAAAACATAACCAATCTGACAACAAACTGATTGATTTTCCCTTTCATGAGTTTCATCCTTGCTAAAATCTTCTTCTCGCTAAGAACTCTCGAAGCTAGCTTTCATTTTTCTCAAGGAGCTTCCATACGGTGAACAATATCCCCACCAATCTCGCTTAGACATTGGGTGTAATTCAAAAGCATTCCGAGCACTCTAGTCCTGTTTAGTCTAGTCTGAAGCCTTTAAATTCCAAAGAGGGATGCCACAACTCCAACTTGCCATTGATCAACTCATGTGTCTTGTCGATCAACACAATATCATCACAAAGAGCATGCACCAAGTGACCTTCCCCTGGCACCATGCTTTAGATCATCCATCATTAGAGCAAACACGAAGGGACTAAAAGGTTGGGACACACCCCTGAATAAACCCCACCTCTACAGAAAAAGATCACAGACACCCTTCACAGCCCCCTAGACCACTCCCTGGATTATCACCTGATTAGCTGCGGGGGGGGGGGGGGGAAGGGGGGGTTGTCAAGGGTTAGGGTATGAACCATTTGGCCGAACAGAGTGTCGTATGGGTTTAAAATGACCTAGTATCATAATAAGACACTGAAATGCATCGTCAAAAGAACCGATCCGAAAACATTAATACTCCATAGTAATAGCAACATCAACAACATCCAAGGATCCGTAACACATTCATGTCCATTTACCCTTCCCGTTCATTCCTTCATGATTAAACTATGCAGAACCAACAAGTTATTAAGAAGTAAATATAAATTAGCTACAAACACAAATGCGAAAACGAAGAAAGATCTCATATTTGCAGGAAAAATATAATTGTGGGGGGGAGGCTAATAGTGGCCTTTTCAATTCAATTCATTCGCGCAAAACTAAGATGTACATACTACATAGGGCGTGCTAAAAAATATGTACAAAGGGCTGCATATGAATCCAAGCGAATACTGATAAGTATATCTTATTGGAAATCGAAAAATTAGGTGATATTTAAATTCGCATTCGAACCATAAAAAATATTCAATGTTTGGTTTGAATTATTATTCGAATATATTTTGGAATATTCAAACATTCAAATTCAATTTTTTACACTATCAGGTTTTAACGTGTGGGCAAGCGTGATCAAAATAGAGATTAAAAAACTACCAGGCTGATAAAAACTTGAATTTCAGACCCAAGCCATGCCTCCCAACAGATTAAATAATACCTGGAATTGGATTGGATACTGGAGAGTGAAAGTGAAGTTATACAGACGGAAAGCAAAGACTGAAAGGCAATTGAAGATGGAAGGGAAGACCGAGGTCGAAAAAGACGAAGATGGAGACTGACCTGCTAGACGCGAGTGCTCGATCTCAACGACGAGCGAGATTGGCATATGGCCTGTTTGGGAAGAGGTTTAGGGATGAGAGCAACCATTTTTAAAAGGTTATCTAAGGAAAGCGCTTAGCGTTAGCGTTTTCAAATTAATATGCACCGTTATTTCGTTAAAATTTGTTAGGCCCCCCCTACTGCAAACAAATAGAAAGAAAAGAAAAAAAGAGCACACAAAATATTTAACGTGGTTCGACACCTCAAGACCTTCTCCACGACCCCCTCTGGGATAAAATCTCACTAGTAATTTTTGCACAGAAAAATTACAAACTCTCTCCAATATTTAACACTCACAATGTAAAATCTAATACACAATTATATAGATTAAAGGATTGTGTTGTGTGTTGGAAGCCTATACACTCTCTCTATTTACAGGCTCCAATACCTTCTCAATTTTCCTATCCCACCGATGTGGGGCTTTGAAGTAAAACTCAAAAAATTTTTATCCAAAACGCTAAAGTTAATCTCTAACGTTATTTCCAAACATGCAATTAACTACATACCCAGACGGAGTGTTTGGAAAGATCTCCCACTTTGTTTATTGGGTTCTTTATAAAGGCCCATTTTAAGTGTCAACCCCATTTACTCCCCTTTGAAGACAAAATATGCTAAGGGCCTGCTTGGTACACGGAATTCAAATTATGGAATTAGAATTGAGGACTTCAATTCCAATTCTGGTGTTTGGTAGCATTAAAATTATGTTGAGTTGGAATTGGTAATGCAAAAAATGAATTGGAATTGATGAATTCAATTCTATGGAATTGAATCTCAAGGTCCGTTTGGTATACGGAATTGACGGAATTGGAATTGAATTGGAATTAAAATTCAATGGGATTCAATTCCGTAGAATTGAATTCTGCCAATTCCAATTCATTTTTTGCATTATCAATTCCAAATCCACATAATTTTTGTGCTGCCAAAGGCTAGATTTGGAGTTGAAGTCCTCAATTCCAATGTCATAGTTTGAATTCCATGTACCAAACGGGGCCTCATGAAATTTCAATTCCAATTCAATTCCAATTACATCAATTCCATGTACCAAACGGAACCTAAGAGGAACAATTTAATTTAATAAGATGTAAGATGAATACAATAGATATAGAAATGCAACAAAAATTATACTCCCTCTATCTCCAAAAGAAGTTCAAGAGTTGTCCTTAGAGAGTTTAGGAAAACATTAAAAGTGAAAAATATATTAGTATTATACTCCCTCCATCCCAAAAAGAATGGGACGGTTTGACTTTTTGGAAAATTAAGGGAGAGATATTTTGGTATTGATTTTCCAAAAATACCTTTGATGTGATGGGTAGATTATTAGAAAAAAGGTATGATGTGATAAGTAGAGTATGAAAAAGTAAGGGGTAAAATTGGTTTTTTAATAGAAATGTAACGAATTTTACGAGACACAGTTTTTTCTAAACGTAACAAACTTTTTGGGACGGAGGGAGTATTTTTTTAAAGAGACAAATATTGTAAGATACATTCTTTTCTTTCAAAGAAAAAATGTGAAGTATAAAATTTAATTTGAAATGAACACAGGACAAAAAATGTAAATTTTCTTTGGAGACGGTGGAAGTATATAACAAATCCATACTAAAGAAAATATTTGGCCTCTAATTATCCACTATTTCTGGAACATATATTTATCCCTTTTTTCTTACACTTTCTAAAATCAATATCAATAGTAAGGATATAATTTTTTGTTTCTTGATTTGCTTGTCACTAACCTATGTTTCAAAAATAGTGGAAAAATAGAGAAATGCTTTTTATTTTCTCTTTGAAAGTAATAATTGACAAAAAAATTGCAACCTCTCCGGTTTAGAGGTAACACATTTTTGTATTCCACAATTCCAAAAATAATACGAAGTTATCTAAGATAAAAACAATAATCTCATATCGCACTTAAACTTATTATTAAAATGATTACAATGCGTCTCACGATAATGACGCAAAAAAATTGATATTTTCCACAAGTTACACCATGGCACCATGCTCATTTCTCACATTCATTTTTGCAATGTATTTTGGCAATGTTAATTTCATTCCTAAATAGTAAATAATACTCCTTCCGTCTCATTAAACATGGAAGTTTTGTTTTTTAGGAGGGATTTAAGGGGAGTGTATTTTGGTATTGAATTTCCAAAAATGTCCTTTGATGTGATGAGTAAAAGTATAATTTGATGGATATATTAGGGTAAATTTCACCAATGGTACCTGAACTTTAGCTGGAATTTCGAAGTGGTACCTGAACTTCAAATCCTTTCACAAAAATCTCTGAACTTACACAATCCTTTCACTAATGAGCCATTAGCCCGTTTTTAGGTTAACTTCCGATCATTAGGGCCAAATTCGAATTTTATATATTTTAAAATTTTCAATTTGACCCCATTTCTTCTTTTCTTTTCTTCCAGGCCCCGCCGCCGCCGCCCGCCGGTCAAAGTCGCCGGAAAATGAACTTTTTCTGATTCCGGCGGGACCAATGTCATTCTCTTCGTCTTAAGACGAGGATCAATAATATCCAAACCATTTTGTCTAATTTTGCCTGTAACTTCTCGAATCTGAATTTTTCAACTCGAAAAAACCCTAAAATCGAAATTGGGTCCAAAATGGGGGGTTTTGCAAATCGTCATCAAATCTTGCAATTGAGGGGTCCTTGGAGGTCGCCCGGATGCCACGACCACATTGGAGTTGGTGCCCGCCGTCAATTTCGCCGGAGTTGGCCGGAAAACGCTCCGACCCGCCGGAAACCGCCGTCAAGGTATGATGTGATAGTTAAGGTATGAAAAAGTAAGGGGTAAAAGTGACTTTTAATAGAAATGAAAAGTGTTTTGTGGGACGGATAAAAAAAGAAAAGAGAAAGGTTTTATGGGACGGTGGGAGTATTTAATTACTTAATTGGTAAACAATCAAAAAAACAAATCACACCAGATCGTTAATTTAAGAAATTCTTACTCAATGAAATTATTGTACATAATAGAAAAAAATAATGTATAATTATAAATGGATTATTTTATTTAAAAATGATTAAATTCAGTTATAAAAAAATATAATAGAGTTACTAAAAAACTAAAATTTAAGACAACTTATTATCTTTTCAATGAAACAAAATTATGAAATATTGTATCATTACAAAGAGAAATATATAATAAATTCATCTACTTCACTTTTCAATAATTTACGTTAACTTTATAATGGTAACTGAAATATTTTTTTTCGGACAAATAAAATATTTTTTATACTTAAATTGTGATACTACATTTTGTTACTCTGTATTATTTACTGATATTGATGATAATGATATTGATTATAATAAATTAAATAATAACTATAATAATATTAAAAATTATAATAATAATTTTAATTGTGATAATAATTGCAATACAAATAATATGAAAAATATGCCTTTATAATTTTTTAAATTGGTGTTAGAAAGAACTTGAATTAGGGTTTGTTTATTTGGGATGGAAAAGTTAAATTCCAACCTTTTCCAACTCAATCAAGTTTAATTTCTTCCAATTTTTTCTAGTTTCTTCTAACACCTTCAAGATTCTTACAACAACACTTAAAAAAATTATTTATATTATATATGATAAATATATAATAACATCATCTATCCAAACATATAACGTATGAATTCTTTTTTCTTCAAAATAGATTTTCTTCAAAATAGATTTTCTTACACATTTATTTGAGTGATTATTTAATTGAGTGAATTTTTATCACTTTATTTTTCCAATATTTTTTAACTTCTTGTTTGTTCTAACTTCCTCCAGTTTCTTTTAACATCCAACTCTATGTTTACAACACAAATGAATAGAGCCTTAGTTAGAAAAACTAGAAAAAATTAGAAGAAATTAGAAGAAAGCTAAGAAGAGATAACTAAAAAGAATGAGAAAATGCTTAGTTGATGTTCACTTCGTACGTGATAAAGTAACGCTGGGGCATGTTCGCGTGCTTAATGTATCGTACTCCATTCAATATGCATATATTTTCACCAATGGACATCCTTCTCTTCTCTGCCTTGATTTCTAAGAGAGGGCGTTAGAAAGCATACCAAATATTATTACTCGGCCAATTAGCGCCGGTACCCCTCGTGGTTTGCAAAACCACCACCAATACCCCATCTGTTTTCAAAACTCATTTCTAAAGTTCTTGTGGTTTCAAAATGCTGCACCCGTGCCCCCTCTAATCATTTTCCAGCCATTTTTCCGGCGAGGAGGGGGGCATTGGTGCATGTTTTTTAAACCATATGGGTATCAGTGCTGATTTTTATTTCTTGCATATTTTTTGTTTTTTCCATTTTTTCCTTTTTTGTTTCATTTATTAATAAAGATTTTTTATAACGTTTCTCAAAATTTAAAGTTACTTTTGTTATAAAAAAAATTAAGATATAATGCATATGTACGTCTCAAATTAACATTTTTTGTTTTTTCTGAAAAAAAGAAAATCTTTTTTTGAGACTTCAAGAAAATGAGAAATAAAATAAGAAACAAAATAATACAAAAATAAAAATGAATATTCTTTTTGGACATGTTAGTTCTAAGGACTTTTTTAGGCGTGTCTAAATTTTTTTGTATAAGACTTCTTTTGCGTATTTTAATTTCTTTTCATTTCATTTTTCCATATTTTTATTTTTTTATTATGGGTTTTTTTTGAACTTTTCAAAAAATTATTCTAAGTAACAAATGGTGAAAATGTTTAATTTAATATAGATTTAATGTATGTTAATTTTTATATTTTTATAAAATTTTTGAAACATTATAAAAAAATTGAAAATATATTTTAAAAAAATCCTAGGAAAAGGAAAAAGAGATAGAAGATATTTTTAAAAAGGGAAGATTAATAAACGAAAATATGAAATGAGCATGAATGCCCCCTGACCCCTGTGGTTTAGAAATTATGCGCCAATGCCCCCTATTCGCCAGAAAATGGCCGGAAAATGATCGGAGGGGGTGTGGGTGCAACGTTTTGAAACCACGGGGACTTTAGAAATAAGTTTTGAAAATAGAGGGGATATTGGTGCTAATTTTCCAAACCACAGGGGGCACGGAAGCTATTTGGCCATTATTACTCATATTTAATGTTCCCTCCGTCCCCAATTTGATTATAATTTTTTCTCTCTTTACTGGATAACTTTTATTTATTTACGCAATTTCATTAAGTATTTGATAAAATAAACTATTATTGTCACCTCTTGTTTTGTAGAACTTTTGACGTAGTTTTTAATATGTAATTTTTATTTTTTATCGATTTACTAGTTTGTAAATAAAATAATTTTTAAAAATGAGATATTTTTTCTCGTAAACCCTAATTTGATTACAAATTGGGGACAGAGGGAGTATTGTTCATCCCACCCTAGTGTATGTCTTTTGACTTTCCATAATCATTTGTAATGCTCATCGTGGTTATTTATATCATGAGACCTCATCCTAGTAAAGTGTGTAGAGATTTTTGGTTTGTAAAATTTTTCAGGTAGTTTTTTTACTGTTTAAATTTTATATTAAAATGTTTTATTTACAATCAAATAAACTAAATAAAAAATAAAAACGGTATAGTAATGTGCAAATGTACAATGAGGCATTACAACCACATTACCACAGTGCGAAGTGCTATTTCGAGAAAAAACATAAAATTTTTATTTTGATACTTTCTCTATGTTTTAGTCTATTTAGGGTGATTTCTATAAAAATTGATGTATAAATATAAACAATAAAATTATATTTAAAAATTATATCAAAATTTTTGTAAAACAAGATATGATAACAATATTTTATTTTATTAAATGATCAATTAAAATATGTAAACAAACAAAAATTATCGAAAATCTCTAATTGTAAAAAGGTAAATCATTTTGGGACAAAGGCAAGGCCTTGTTAAAAATGAAAAAAAATGTATATGTTGACTTTGTCTAAGCATTTACTAAATGAAAAAGAATGAGGATCTAGAAAACTCTTGCTAATGAGTGTCATGTGGTAACATATTAGCACGAGTAACGGGTCACCACCAATCTTTTTTCTTAAAGAGTGGATCATGGTTAGTTCATCCCCACTGAACTAGGACCAACCACTAGTATAAAAGGGTATCAGTATAGCTACTCTTATTTGCATAGCAATAGCAATTTCTATAGCTAACAAGTTTACCATGGAGGCTTCAAAACATATAAGTATAGCCATTCTCATTTGCACCATCTTCATCAGCAGATCACTTTCGGCCCCTGCACCAAAGGCCCATCCACCGGCACCTACGCCGAAGGCCCCATTGCATCCACCCCCACCAATGCCAAAAGAGGCAGAAAAGCCACAACCACCCGCACCCTCACCAAAGGCACCATTACATCCACCTCCACCAACACCAAAGATGGGACAAAGGCTTGCATCAGTCCCACAAAAGCCTGCACCTAAGCCGCATCCACCCGCGCCCTCACCCAAGCCACATCCACCCCCGCCCTCACCCAAGGCACCA